TACGTACTTCTCTCTTACTCTACTCTCTCTCTCTCTCTCTCTCTCTCTCTCTCTCTCTCTCTCTCTCTCTCTCTCTCTCTCTCTCTCTCTCTCTCTCTCTCTCTCTCTCTCTCCTCTCTCTCTCTCTCTCTCTCTCTCTCTCTCTCTCTCTCGCCACTTACCAAAAGTTTTGGTGGATTTTAGAGTGCGCTCTATATGAGAAATGTGCAATATCCACTACGTGAAGCACCTCCCTGTAGGTATGTCAAATACTCAACCTGACAAATGCAATATAGTGGGCCTATAATAGATACATCTATGAGAACAGTTATTAAACTATAAAATGATAAACTCTCAAAGGAACCACAAATCATACAAAGTATTATTTATGTTTTTTATTGTTAACTAAGTTTCATTACACTTCAAACAGAGCTATTTTAAAATTACAACTAGGTAATCCACAACCCAATCTGCTAAACAGGTAAAAATTATTTTTTATATAGTAGTTATATTATTTAATAGTTCACATTATAACACCCCCCAAGTGCAACATCATTCTTTTTTCGAACCCCCACAAACTTTGTTTTTCGTTACTAGAAAAACACCCGAAAACAAATGAAGACAACTTAGGAGAATCATAAAGCTCAAATTAATGGAAAAGATTGCTATAACCATTAAGATAATCAAACGTATTTGTCATGGTATTCAAAGCATAGCTACCAAGACCAGACCGGACAAGCAGTCCAACTGGTCAAATTGTCAACCAATGCCTTGGCCAGTCTAGTTTGGAATAAGGTTTGGTAAAAAACCAAACAAATTGGTGTTTGACCAATTTTGGCCGATTCAGCTAACGGGTTTTGACTACTTTAACCATCCAAACAGAGTGGGTGTTTTTTTTCTAATATTGTAGCTATTATTGATGTTTGTCCCAACATTTTTAAAATCCGATCAAACTGGTTCGATCGGTGGTCGGACCGGTTTTAATAGACCACACCCCTTTACATTCGGTGTCCAATCCAATCCTAGTAACACTGATCCAAAGCATAATAAGGAAAAACTAATACAGACCACATAAAGGCAGACTATGCCATGCAATACCTGTATAGTGTATGTTATGAACCATGAGAGATAGAATATCTCATCTTTAAGACCCATCATGTACAGGCCTTCCTTAATCCTGTGCTCCTAGAGAAAAGAAATAACCAAATAAAGTGAAATTTCAAAAAGAAGCTAAATGTTAGTCAAACAAAAGAAATAGCAAACTTAAAACTATTTAAAAGGCAGTGCTATGCACATTATCGAACCTTCTCAAAAACGGAGTAGCTGATTAACCGAGATATTGGATACAAAAAGCCCAAAAGGTACCTACATTCCCCAAATTTCGATTAATTGTCACCACTTTCACAAATAAAAATTCACCAATAATAACACATGAAAAAGGAATATTAGCCACAGTGGGACCAAAAGTTACGAGTGTATCCTCTACCAGATGCAACAAAAGATCTAAACATATTTTTTAGGGGAATACTCCAAGAAAACATGAAAGACTACTCTCTTTTAAAAACAGAAGTTTCTAGGAAAAAGGCATTAGAAAATATACATTTCATATCAAATTCTCTTCAAATTAACATAGCCTAACCATTTTCCTCGTCCTCCCAAAAAAACAACCAATAAAACACATGTAAAGGCTCTTCCTACACCAATTTCATCAAAATTATAACGCAAAACACCAAGTAAATAGACATGAAATATTAGGGAAGCACATACAACACCCCCATAACTTTCTTGATTATTGTTTGAAATTCATCATCAGTGTATTCGCGTGTTGGAAATGGAACAATCCTTGTTCTTGAAAGCTGAAAGGGTTTCCAGCGATGCTTCTCATCCTGGAAAACTCTATCCCCACTGATATCCGGATATTCCGTATCTTTGTCAGCAATCTTTGAAGTAGGAGGTTTTCCTGATAAGCTTAATCCTCCAATAATTGCACCATCATGGAAAAGATCAGCACTACTTCTTTGTGCAGAAGATATTATGAAAGAATCCACTACTTGTTGCAGCTGCAACAGCAAAATAACAAAGAGAAACTGAAACTAAGAACATAACGAAAAGCAAAAGACCAAACATTTCAAAACATATAGAACACCAACATAGTAAAATAGAGTTGGCAACCTCAAGTCCAGAAGTATACTATTTCATAGGTAAAAAAGATCTCAAGTTACCCAAATGAAATGCATGCAAATGAACAATGAGATGAAAAAACGATTCACGATGGATGTGAATATTCATGATGGATGCGTCTTGGGCAACTCAACGCATGCTTTATCAAAAACGAACACATTAGGCATGGTATAATTGTATTAACATGCATGGAACATAAGGCAAGAGGAAGATTCAAAAATCAATCATCAAGGACCAAATCAAGGCAGGCCTAGAGCCAATGTACAAACTATATCAGCCTTTACAACAGGTATAAATTAGGAAACTAATACAATAATATATCTAGAAAAGGTTCAATGGCAGGTATTAGACCATAACAGATATGGATCATTTACAACATATATAACAGGTGACACTTTTAGTTTCCTTAGTCATTCATGATTTTTCAAAAAATAATGGATTTATAACAGATGTAAGCCTATTAAATTAAAAATAACACATATAACAGTACTTTGAAAATATATACCACATTTTTCTTTTCAAATTTTGAAACCCAATGCACTGGCAAGTACAAAATTATATGACGGCAGATATATTTCAAAATAATCATGGCATTTGACCATATCACCTCGTTTTAACCTAATACCCATGATAGTTAGTTGGTTACACATTGTGATGGGCATGGCATGGGTCCAATTTGTTTGCTTATATGCCCACAATTATGACGGTTTTATGAACAGTAGCAAGAGGAAAGAAATTTCAAAGTTAAACATATCGCTTTTTTATATACAGCACAAATGCATATATGCAGAGATGAAAAGAGCTGTATATCCCTATTTGGAAGTTAATCATATTACTTTTTACATAAATCACATATGCATATATACATCAGTACAAAGATACCCATATATCCCTAAGTACATAAAGAGGGACCAACAAAAACACTCATACCTGCACGCGCACAGCCATTATATCCATACACTTGTCATGTTGTACACTTGTAAACACATGCATATAATGTATGTAAGAATGTCAACTCCCAGCGAATACTATTTGATCTTAAAAGGAAAGCATGCATAAGCAAGATAGAAGACATCTGGAAAGCCCATGTTGCAACCCGCGATTACACACAAGGGCATATACATACAATAGAACACATATAAAATTAGACATAATAGAACACGTTTACATGTGTCAAACTATGTGTGTAAGATAGAGAGAGAGAGAGAAAAGAGAGACATACAGTCAAAAACCCACTGAAGCCATACTGAAGGGTGGGCACTGTGTCAACACCCAATTGCAAGTCATAGAGATAAGGCCCATTGGTATCCATAATAGATTTGACATCAGGAAATCCAGAGAAAGCCCATGTGTGGTTCAGTCGTATACTGTAGTCGAATACCAATGGCCCAAGTTCATGAAATATTATTGCCGCTTTGATCATGGGGTATGAGCAATTCCTGGACCAAGAACAAATGCAACTTTCAGAATGTAAAATCCAAAAGAAGCTAACATTTAGCCTTTCATATGATGCACATATGATAGTCACCTCATAAAAAGGAAGCAAGAATAACAATAAACCAGGTTGTCATAGTACAAATACCACATAAAATATAGGTGACGCTGGGAAGTAAACCCTAAATAGCATGGGGATAAATGACTTACACCATGGACATTCATGTTTACATGCTAAACAATAGTATTTTACATGGATGAGATATATGGTCAAGGGAGACGACTCGAGGAAAGCTTGAACCTATTCAGTGAAAGAAGTGGCTATGTGGAATTCAAGCGAATAAAATAAAATAAAAACTTCTTGTTTCTTTTATTAATGTACCTAGATTCCATGTACAGGTGCTACATAACAGACAAACCTCAACTCTCTCTATCTCTCAAAGCCTAAAGGGGGTGGCACGCCCCTCTCTAAACTTCTCTCTTCTTCTTTCTCTAAAGTTTAGGGTTTAGGAAAGAAACCTAACCCTAAAGGGTGGCACGCCCAAGCCACATAGCCTAGCTCTAGGTCTTGACCTTATGCTCATGTGTTGAGCCTTGGTCAAGTGATATCCCATGTTATGTCCTCTGGTAGTTTTGCCTAGGCTTCCCAAGTTGTGAGATGAGATCTTGAACCAAGATCCTGTGTGCCATTGGTGGAGGAGGCCCGGCATAGGGTGTACGAAGCCTTTGGGGATATTCTGAGGTAAACCTTTCAAGTGACAAAATTCCTTTTGGAAACACAGTACAATTTGAGGCTGTTTTGGGGCTGGCATCCACTCTGTAACCTTGAGAGAGATCCGAAGGGCCATTCTAAGTCATCCAATGTTGAAAAGCTAGGGTTTTGATGGCTTCCTCACCCCCTATTGGTGTTCCTCTCCCTATGGAGGGGAAACCTCCTGATCCTCGGGAGCTTCTTCCTTGTTTCTGCGATAGTAGTCTTGCTTATTATTATGGTGGTGCTGGTCCCCTAGAGGCTATGACCAAATCTGCTCGTATTACCTTTGTTTCTGATGGTGGTCATCATCTTGGTAATGATGGGGATGGATCTGGTTATGATCCACTCATTTATGGTCACAAAAATTTTGCAGGAGATCGATCTGGGTCTAAGAGATCTGCTCTTTTACATGTGGATAATATTGATAATCGAAGATCCTCTTTTATTGGTGGTGATCATCTTGAATCTGATCATGCTCTTTTGCAGGAGTCCCGTAAGGGTGGCATTTCCACCCTTGGTGGTTGGTTCGAAGCATACCATAGATGGCAACATAGGAAGTCAATCTATTGCTGGTTCTGGCAAAGGCAAGGAGGTGGATGTTACTCCTTGGAAAACAAATTTTGGTAGTAAGAACGACCTAGGATCTACTTCGGGTTCTCATGGTGAAGGTGTCGTAAGGGAGGAGTTTCCATCCTTGGTTTCAAACAACAAGAATGGAAGCTTAGCTAACAGCTGTTGGGACTCGAGTAGGTCCTTAGACCTGCTATTTGGTGCCCATGATGTTCAACATGGAGTGTTTTACTTTGAGGAGATGGATACTTTATCTACTGAAATTATTCATGGTAAAACATTTGTCAAAATTAAAAAGAAGTTGATGGACTCATATCAGAGTGGGTGGGAAAACTGCTTATTGGGGTACTTCTTGGGCCGACGACCCGATTGGAATTATATGAAAGAGGTGTTGAAGAAAATGTGGAGGCTTGAGCGTAATGTTGAAGTATTCTCCGCTGATGGGGGCTTCTTGATTTTTCGATTCCGTTCTAGGAAGGAGATGGAGGTTGCCCATATGAGGGGGCCATGGTTTATCAACAAAAAATGTTTGGTGCTTTCAAGAATGGAATCCATCAGTTCAACCCTCTAGGCATACTCGCCAAGCTGTGCCAGTTTGGATCAAATTGCCAAGGTTGCCAATGATGTATTGGGAACCAGAAATTCTGTTTTGTATTGCCTCCAGTGTTGGAAAGCCCATCTTCATGGACAAACCGACAAAATTAAGATTAAGGGCTGAGCCAAGGGTGTGTGTTGCATTGGATCTAGATACGATATGCTCGACTGAAGTTTGGCTGGACATGTATGGGAAGGATTATAGGCAAGAGATAGTTTATAAGTTCATACCCTCGATCTGTTCTAAATGTCGGAGGGTGGGCCATAAGCCTGAATTATGTCGAGCAGATTTAAGTGCAAAGGCTCCCATCAAGGCTAGTGCAACAATTGCTCCTAATGGTGGTACTTCTATTAAGTTCCCCTCAGGGGAAGAGGGTTGGAAGGTAGTCAAAGGGAGATCGCAGTTAGCATATAAAAGGAGGCTGAAGGAAAGCACTAATGGTTTTCTAACCATTCCCAATGTGCCAGAGGAGAATAATGTGTTGATTATCGACCACACTGTTGGTACTCACGCTACTGATAACGCAGTTGTTACACCTATAGTCATGCATTCCTTACTCCATGGCCATGACCCAAACGAATGTGAGCATAGACCACAGTCGTAATGATATCAACATGTGCAGTCATAGAATTGGCAGCATTGTTTACATCAGCCTGGTTGTCCATAGTCAACAACGAAGCTGCACGGTTCATAACTGCATTCTGTGGCAAGAGTGAGGATTCGCCATCCTCAACTGGTGACGAAACACTCCCAGTAACTGGCGGTGGATCCTCGACATCACCAGACACACCAATATTATCGACATTAGTCATAACTGTAACCCCATACTCCTGTTGCACATCAGAATCACCCATAGGAATACAGTGTCGACTGTATTTTGCTCATAGGAGCTAACTGCCTTCCCAATAAGAGACACGTCGTTATACTCTTGGACATTGGCTAGACTTTCAAAAGCATTAGAAATGATATCCTTCAAGAAGCAGGTTAACATCACTGCTGACATAGAGATAGATGAGGAGAAGTATGATGTTGAGGGCAGTTAGGATCCCTTGCTTATGGAAGATCTAAAAACCTGTGGTAATGGCAAGGGTGTGACTGAGTCACAGAGAAACAAGCTAGAGGATGGCATGGGGAATATTATTGGTGGTCACAATCCCAAGAAACAAGTCGACGTAAGTCATGGCAAATCTCTGGAAAAGGAATTGATAAGGTGGAAGGTTCTAGTAAGTGAGTGCAAGATCATGCGAATGGTGAGAAGCTTCCTCAAGCTCGAACTAGATCGCAATTAAAAGCTTCTTTGGCAGCTACTGGTGACAAGAAGGGGCATTTTTTATCAGCTTTTGGTGATACAAAAGGATTAACTCTAGTAGCTAATGGTGATAATAAGGGGTTACCTTATAAGGCTCAACGTTCTCCAACAACTTCTGAAGGTAAGGTTTCCCTAACCAAATGACCAAACCTTTAATTTTATTTATGCCAATTGCAGCTTGGAATGTCAGGGGTCTTCAGAGCCGGGGCAGAATATCGGATATTGGGGTTTTAAAAGGACAACATAATCTTGGTCTTTTTTTCTTATTGGAAACTACGCTTCCTGTGGAGTTGAGCCGTATTTGGCCTAAAAAGTTGGGATTCTATAATAACTTTATTGCTAATGAGATCGAAGGTAGATCCAGAATTTTAGTCCTATGGAATCCTTTAATTTACTCAATCAAAATGATTGATGTAAATGATCAAATGATAACTGTGGAGGCTACTCATATTTGTAATGGAAACATCTCAGTTGTTTCAGGAGTTTATGCATCTAATTATGTGTCCCGAAGGGCTATGCTTTGGGACCATATGAGGGCTTTAGGAGCAACTATTATTCTTCCCGGGCTGGTATTAAGAGATTTTAATACTCTATTGGATTCCTCAGAAAAAGTGGGGGGTAGCAATTCTTTACCACCAGATTCAGATGACTTTCCTCAAGTAATGTCGAATTGTGCTCTTGCTGATCTTGGTGTAGTCAGAGGGTCGTTCTCTTGGTCTAATCACAAGTTGAGCAGAAGATGCATTAGAAGAAGGTTGGACAGGGCATTAGCAACTACTGATTGGGTTTTGTCCTTCCCAGAATCCAAAACCCAGTTACTCCCTAAAGGCACCTAAGATCATTGTCCATCTATTTCTTATTTGGGTCTGGTTGGGCCTAACCTTTTAAG